AATTTAATTTTATGTGGTTAGTGGCTACCATATTGGACAACACAGATATAAATTTATACAAAGAGGAAGAAAAAGAATGCAAATGTGGTGAAGAATTGGTGAACTATGTAAAGGGTATTTCAGAATTTTTTGAATTGTTCTTGTAATTTTATGATTTTTGTTTGAATTATATATACGTATACCTATACTTAATTACAAAAGAAATGTTAGATAGTATTCCTGTGTTGATGAGACTTCTGCTTTCAGAAAGATGAAGTAGAAGTACTTTCTCCTATTTCTCCCACTAAGTGCAACTAAAAACTCTGGAAGTTGTAAGGAAATCAAATATTAGAAAATTATGTGTAAATCAAAACATATCTTAAGTTGGGGAGAATAGTGAAGACTGGCAAAGGACTTTGGGAGACAAGGAATGACACGTTGGTAATTTCCCTGAGTTTCTTTCTGACTCATCTACCTTAGACTTGGTGAAGAAATAGCTGACAACTCGGAAACGCCAACAGGTGGGAAACAAAATAGCATAGTTGCCTCTTATCCACGGGGAATACATTCCCAGACCGCAGTGGATTCCTGAACCTGTGGATGGTACCAAACCCTATATATACTACGTTTTTTCCTATCCATGTATACAATACCGAGGATAAAGTTTAATTTGTGTATTAGACATAGTAGGAGATTAACAATAATAAAAGGATAGAACAATTATTACAATACACTTATCGTGCCCTGTGGCTGTGACTTTTGCAGTTTGAGGTGTGACAGCAAAGCTAGCACAAATTTGTTTTTCCTTCTTCACAATTTCACAAATAGATTTATTCTGACTGTGGATCTTAGCAACCTCCGCATACAATTTTTTTTTTCTCATTATGTCAAGAGTTTTCACCTTTTCACTTAGGAAGCACTTTATGGCTCCTCTTTGGCATATCCAAATTGCCAACATCACTAGTCGCTTTGAGGCCATTGTTTAGTAAAATAAGTGTTCTTTGAACACAATCACTGCCACAGTCAATCTGATATCCAAGATGGCTGCTAAGTGACTAATGGGTGGGTCACATATACAGCATGGAGATGTGGGACAAAGAGATGATTCATATCCTGGGCCAGACAGTGCCAGATTTCATCACACACTTAGAACGGCATACAATTTAAAGCTTGTAAATTGTTTATTTCCGGAATTTTCATTTAATATTTTTAGACCTTGGTTATCCACAGGTAACTGAAATCATGGAAAGCAAATCCATGGAAAGGGGGAACTACTGTACCCCAGTGAATATATGCTTTCTCTAGCCAAAGGATCAATAAAGAGGTAGCCTAGCTGACAGAAAGAAAAGTTTAAACAAAAACCCCTTTACTTCAACCAAACACTGCAGAAAAATTGTTGGCCTCCCTCCATTTGTCGTGAAAGACCCAGAAGGCCTGGATTTCCCTCTTCACCGTGCTGTAAGGAGGCACTCCAATGCCCCGTCTATTGGGGTGTTTTTAGAGAAAGTCTAATAGGGAGGTGGAATTTCCCTCCTTACTGCCTGGTAAGGTGTCCCTCCTCTGATCATTGACGTGGTATCAGAAAAGGCGACACTTTTCACCACCACCCAATAGTCAGGAGGCCATCTCCCACTGGTGTCGGGGCAGGCATGTGGGTCAAAGCAACTAGGCACTCCCACCCTTCCCAGCCAAGCTGGTGTCAAGGGAGGCCTAATGGGGCCCACCCCCACCCAGCAGTAACAAGACACCCTTCCATCCATGGGGTCAGGAGAGGCTGAGGGGGAATTCTACACTTGCCTCATGGTAATGACGGGGCACCTTCCTCTTCCTTTGCCAACAAATGGAATTGGATCTTTTAAGTAATCACTGGACAATTTAAAGCCCAGTCTAAAATTAAGATTATTACCCAAGCTATCAGGAAGAAAGGCTCAGATCCTAGAATGACCAATCAGTGTGTAAATAGGGTTTGGGGCTATATTCAACTCTGAAGTGAGACAAATTGGGCAAGGACTCAAGAATTCTTTCCTCCTGCTTTCTCTAACTAGCTCAGTCTCTCTGATTAATTTTTTGTAAACGATAAGGTATAAATTTTATCTTCACCTTCTTCATGTATATAAAATTCTTGTGTCTATTTCAGGAAAATATTGGACATTTAATTTCCTATTAATATAAATGACACTAAAAGTAGAAAGAACCTATAGTTTTAGTACCATCTATTGTGAATTTCCTAAGAAATTTAACGGTTTTTCATAGGTCTTAGACCAAATTTCAACTCAGGGTTCTATAAGAGGGAATGCAGAGACGGATCAGAACGGATTAGCTGTGGAGATCCAATGCAGAGTTGTTGGTGTGTGTTGATATCCCCTCCCTTTCTTCTCGCCTCACCTTCCTTATGGGGCAATGAGGGCTGTTGTTTCTCACTCCCTCCACAGGTTAAGTAGAGTCAAGGACTTCAAAGATCCTATTGGAAAGCTGGCATGTGCTCCTTGGAGTTTAGGGACATTAGTATTGGTGCTCAACTCAAGCCTGAAGACTTCTGGTAGTCAGAGGCTGGCTGGAGTGGTTGTGGCAATAGAGTGAAGGGAGAGGATTAGAGGTGGGAGCAGCCTACTCTTTCAATGTTTGGTTAAGCAGAGGAGGTTTTCTCCCAAGTGGATTCACTGAGTGGGGCAGGAGGTGTCTCTGGACTTGGACCATCTTGAAAGAAACCCAGCCCAAGATGTCTAAATGGCAGGTGCATTGACCTCAACACAGAGAGTAAATCTGTGGGAAAAAAGTGAACCAAAAGAGGAAAGTGCCAGTGGAAGTTCTCAGCAGGGGGATCAGCGAAGAACTCAAATCATCTCATAGGAAAAAGATTGAAGTCACACACAGAGGACACCAAAGACAGGTTCCTAATGTATCATGTAAGAGGGTTTCCTTTCCCCTAATTTGCTGGACTCCAAAGTCACAACTCTGAAGGTATCATAAACAAGAATTAGTGAGCTCAGGTCAGGTAGAGCTGGGAAATGAGGAGGGAAAAAAACATACTTCTGTACTGTGTGCTTGTAAGGCTGATCTGATCCTCTGGGGTGCGAGGAGGAGTTGTAAGCAAGAGTAAAATCTCTGAATCAAATGTGAGGGGGAAGATTTTAAAATTTAGATCAAGTTGAACTTTTTATTCTATTTTGAAAAAAATGCTATTCATTAATCTGAGAGTGACTAAAGAACTAATGCAGGAAGACTGATCCAAGAAAGTAGGTTAAGGGGGCATTTTTAAGAAAGAGTGAAGTTGCTTTCTGCTTATATGGAACTAGATATAAAATATTAACTGTTTAAAAAGTAATAACAATGTCTTATTTAAGGAGTAAAAATAAAATAGAGCTTAAATACAAACAAAATGATATGTTAGATGGTGTGTATTGCTGGGGTGGCATTTTTTCTATAGTCTTGTTTAGGCTTTGTTAAGTATGACTGTTAAAAGAAAAGAGTAACCTAGAGAATGTTAATGAAGTGTATGACTTACAATAGTAGAAAAGTTAAAAAGAATACCGAGATATGGTGCAGAGAAAACATGAAAATGTTGTACGTGATCTACATGAAAATACTATTAAAAGCATTTTTAAAGAATTCCTAACATAAGGTGTATTTCCAGAGATCTACCCAGAAGAATTGGTTGACTTAAATAATGCAGATGGAAATTTCTCACCTTATGACTCTCTACTTTCCAAAGTAGAAGATAGACAACTCTCATTCCCACACTCTGCAATGAGGAGGCATGTGATTTAGATTCTGTCAAGCAGATGCTCCTCTGTGAGACTGAGACAATGTGAGCAACCCAAAGATGGAGCTTTTCAGGGAGGAGTTTGTTTACTGCAAATGTGAAGGTGGAGGCGTCCATTTACCCAGAGCTGACATGGGCGGAGCTTCTGCCATTTGATCTGCAGATCACTGTGCCAGGTATTAATGGATGTGGTGTTTTCTCTTGAGTTGCCTTCACTATGTGGTTGGTATTATTCCTGATGAAATAGTAGTAGACTTTGGCTCTCTTGCTGTCCTGGAGAATCTGTCTGCTACTAAACAGTCTTAAAAATCAATTTCCTTTTTATCTAAGTTACTGAGAAGATTCTGTTGGTTGCAATAAAGAACTTTAAATGATATATATCCTGACACAATTGTGGTAGGTTAATATTTTTGTACTAATGAATAATTCTTGATTTTTCCTCTGTTTCTTGTCCTTCCAAGATAGACATTTACCCTGAGTGGCTCCCGGGACATGATGTCATAGCAGAGGGGAAGAAAGAAACATGGAGTCAAGTTTTCTTTTGAAGGATTGTAGTTACAGTTCTCAGAGGAATGAAAAGGAATGTATTTGAGCTTGAGTTAAAATTCCCTTTCTGTGACTGCAGAAGTTATTTTCTGAACTAAGGGAGGGGGAAAACTATGGAAAGGAGAGTAGAAGAGAGAGGTAGGGTAGCCTGGAAATGGGACAGTAATTACCCAGAGGGATGTTATAGACAGAGAAGGTAGAGCACCCACTCATAAATCCATTTTGCACAGAGGCAAGGACTTCCCCTACCGGCGTCCAGAAGTCCCATCAGTGCCCACAGACCACACAGTCTCTGCTCAATAGAGAACTGTTCACCATCTGAAGCTAATTGTCCCAGACCTCCCTTATTGTAAGCCATCATGTAACCCAATGGCCACTTGGCAGGAATGATACTCAACTGTGTCCCACGGCTTTGTTTAGTCTCTTCAGATTTATCCTGCGTTCACAACACTCCAACCCTATACTAGGACCACATTAAATACTTGAGTAATAGCCTAGGGCTGAGAATATTGAGAAGGGTGGTGTATGTGTGGGGAAAAAAGTGTACGCTGAGCAGGACCTGCCTGATATGATCCCATTGTAATATACATCCCAATTATACAATTTAAAGTCTCTCTAGAGTCAATATGTATGATTTCAAATATAGGATCCAGTGAGGGAAGATTCCGGTCATTAGTACCATAATTAAGCATAAACTTAATCATTTAAGGTAAAACAGTATCTTCATCCTTTATTTCATCTTTGCAAATTTTATAGCTCAACAAAAATGGAAGCATCATGATTTCAAGTTTAGTTTTTGGCAATTGTTTGTTGTTCTAAAGCTGCTCATTCAGCTTATTGCTTGTGGAGGAGAGATGGTTAGGAAATTACATTCCTCGGATTTTTAGAGTATGTTACATACTCCAGCTGGTGCTCTGTTTCTCATTCGGATAGCCTGCATCTCCTGCTGAAGTTTCCTGCTCTCGTTCTGGAATCCTTCCTTGAGAAGTCGTTCCTGTTCCTAAAAGAGAAAGTGGAGACTGAACTAGCACAACTTAAAACATTTTCCACATTTGCCAAATTATTTCCTCTGTCAGTACCCACATTAATTCTTCATGAGTTTTTGGAACTTATTTTTGAAATCCTTTCCTCCCTTAACTTCCATTACATCAATCTCTCCTCAGTCTTCTATGCCTGCCAATAATTTTTCTTGACTTTAGCTGTAGAGATGTTCCTTTCTTATACTTTCTAAATTATTAGTGATCCAGAATTACATTCTTAGCCCCCTTTCACCTGCATACAGCACAGTCTTTCTGAAAAAACTATCATTTTTTTCCCTTCAACTCTGATCTATGTAGTGTGGACTCAAATATATTTCTAAGAAGGTAAGGAAGATGGGTGATCTCCAATGGGAAAGTTACTACATGATTCAGAATCACAGCACACGTTTGATCAGAGAATTTAGTAGAAGTCTCCAAAATTTGGTGGCAGAGATAACAGAAATAAGTAGAAGAGAACAAGGTCTGACTTGGTCCATACTTTATTTCTGAGTGTACACTCAGACTCAACATAGACTCAGGGTAGGGCTTGGAGAACAGGAAGGTCATAGTGGCCTGGGTATTCAATTATGTGGTTAACTGTGTAGATGGTTATGGAGTCTTACTCATTAGGGTGCCTCCAGAGATAGTCATACCAGGTACTGCAGAAAGAACGTCACTATCGACTCCACTCAGTAGGAAAGACAGACCAGATATTTTCCACAAGGCAGGACCCAGAAAATTTACTTATCCCTCATGAAATTGTAATTCCCTCATTTGAAAAATGAGAATGTAATAGTACCTATAACATAACATGAGGATTTGATCCCAGAATGTTTGTGAAGCCATTGTGCAGTGACTGGCAATGAACAGCTACTGTTTATTAGTGATTTAATGATGAAAGATTCCATGAGATTTTATCCTGCAAATAAATAGCCTTTAGTAACCAGAGATCGTCAGGGGTAGAAGCAGTAAGAGAATGAAATGTCTCCTACTATTTAGGCCGGAAAACTTTAACGTCTAAGCACTGTTTTTGAGTCAGCACAGTGGAAGATAAAGTGGGGATGGCACCATCGAATACCTGAAGTTTAAGAGCGAGAGTCCTCTCCTGCTCTGCCAGCAGCTGGGCCCTATCTCTTTCCATCTTCTCAGTCAATTGTTTCACGTGTTCCTGATAACTCTTTTCTTTCTGTTCCATCATCTGCTGATTCTTCTTTTGCATTTCCTCCAACATTTTCGTTGCAGCTTCTGCAGATTCAGCCTTTATACGTTCCACTGAGGAAGGAAAATAAGCAGAGAAATATGAGGATTACATTGTGATAGACTTATTTTGCCTTTCACTTTTTTTGTGTGTTTGTTTTATCCCTATTTCTTAGAGAAGACATCTTGTGGTAATTTTTGCACTGAGTAACCAGAAGACAGATGATCATAAATACCAGTTAAGACAAAAATCCCCTAGAACTCTGAACTATGCATGCTATTCTTCGCTCTCCAATAATGATTCCACATAGACTAACATGGTTCAAGTTAACGCTCCTAGGGCTTTCCGACTAGCTAGAGTGTTTTCATCTGTTCTTGCCTTCAATCTCCTTTTCCTTTTCTGAGAGTGACTGGTCAGTCCGGAGAAGCGCATCAGCCACGTCTTCCTTGGATTCCAAGTACTTCTTCAGCATGTCCTCTGCCTAGTGACGCAGAGAAAGTTAGAATTAGGAAATGGGGACTAAAGCAAAACCCAGCAATACATCCGTTAATTCAGTTTAATCTTCCACCCATGTAACAATCATTTTAGAATTCATACAGCATCTCAAACAAATCTTGCCTAAAACCCAACTCTAGATCCCCCCTCAAATGTGTTTCATTCTCAATCACCCCAAGTTTAATGTTTTAATTAGTAACTTTGATCTTCTAACTGGATGGGTTAAAATCTTTGCAGTCATCCTTGATATCTTCTTTTTCTCACACATCCCACATACAATCATCAGCTAATTGCATTTGCTCTAGCTTCAAAGTAAAACCAATCAGAACCCATCACTTGTTGCCTGCTGCTCCCAAACACCCTGGTCCAAGACATCAACACTTTTGGCTGGACAGACCATTGCATTAGTTTCATCATGGGTCTCCCTGTTTTGACTCTTGCTTCCCTACCAGTCCCCACTCTTCAGAGCAGCTAGTATTATGTAATATCGTTGTGGGGTTTTTTTTGCTGAGGAAGATTGACCTGAGCTAACATCCATACACTCATTGCCAATCCTCCTGTTTTTCTTCTGTTCACTTGAGGAAGATCAGCCCTGAGCTAACATCTGTACCAATCTTTCTCTATTTTTTTGTATGTGGGACATCTCCACAGCACGGCTGATGAGCAGAGTAGGTCTGTGCCTGGAATCCAAACCTGCGAAGTCGGGCCACTGAAGCAGAGCATGCAGAACTTTAACCACTCGGCAACTGGGCTGGGCCCTATGCTATGTCATTTTAAGATAGATCTCTTTACTCTTATGCGCAAAATCCACTAATGATTTTCCAACTCTCTGAATAAAGTTCAAACTGCTCAGTGCTTTCAAGGTGCTACGTTGTGTGGCCTCTGGCCTCTGACCACCTCTCTGACATTATCTCCTGCCACCTCTTCCTTTGCTCACTGCCCTTCTGCCACATTTCTTGCTATTTCTAGAACAGAAATCAATTAACTTTTCTGTACTTTTCCATTGTTTGAAATTTTCTTCCCCTAGAGGCCCATGTGGTTCACTCCCTAACTACTTTAAAGATTCTACTGAAGCATTATCTCATCAGAAAAGTCCTCTATAAAAACTTACACTTAAAATAGTACATTTCCTTCCTCTTCTATACCTTCTTTACTTCTGGGCACTTGTCATCACTGTGATAGGGACTGCTAGAGTCATCTTAATATTATTCTCTCCTTTGTCCTTAGTACCAGAACTCTGAATTTTTTTCTGCCTGGGCACATCGTGGACCATGATAAAATGTTGGATTTTCTACTCAACATCCCTGGTAGGTGAGATGCCCATATGATTAAATTCTGGCCAACATCACTTATGAAGAGGTGTTAAACGGTATTTTTTGGAAATTGCCTTAAAAAGAGTAACCCAGAGACCTTTCACTATTCTGTTTTTTCCTGTTTCTTCCACCTGTGATGTGGAACTAATGAGTGAAACTCTAGGAGCCACCTTAGCCCATAAACGACCTTGCAGACGAGGCCTCGTGCTAAGGTGCTGCGGGAGAATAAAGGAAGGGGCCTGGGGCTGAGATGATTGTGGAGCTGTCATCGCAGCCTGAGCTTAGTCTTCCTCACTCTTGTATACAAGAGAGAAAGAAACTTTTGTTCTTTTTTAAGCCACTCTCAAGTTTTTTTTGCTGGCTTCTTAAAAAAAACATAATATGCACCCAAACTTAACTCTAACCTAACCTGATACCTAAGAGTAAAGAGCGTGGAGTCTGTTATCTGGATTTCCATTGCAGCTGTACCATTCATTTCCTGTATGTTCTAGAGTGAGTTCCTTTACTTCTCTGTGTCTCATTTTTCTTATTTATAATATGAGAATATTCATGATATATACTTCATAGGGATGTTGTGAGAAACGAATGAGTTAAGCCCATTCATTTCCTGAAAAGCGATAAGCTCCACATGAGTGTTAACTGTTTTATTATTATTTTTGTCTGTAAGCTATCATTTATTTATTGCTGATAAATAGTTGGAGAGAACTTTGTTTGTTTTTTTAATTGCCATAACCCCAGAAACTTGACAAGACCTGGCATATAGTTAGTCCTGAATAGATCATCGTTGGATGGTTGGATGACTAAATTAATGAATGAATTCTACAAACATTTTTTGAGGGCTCCATCTGTGCTTGCAAGGAAGAATCTGCTCTTTATCCTGTGATGGGTTCTCTTAATTGAATAAATCAGTGAATGGATGAATGAAAGGCAGAGGCACCAGGCACCAAACATACTTTGGTTGTTCCCACTGTAGATTGAAAGAGTCACTTCTCAAGTCCCCAGAAATGGCAGTCAGTAGGTAGTTACCTGTATCCCCTTCCTGGGCACCTGGTAGTACTTATTCTTCAGCTCCTGTTTCTTCTGAATAAAGAGATGATAACCTCCCGGTTTAGAAAATGCCCCTTGCTTCACCTCTTCTTCTAGAGGACCAAAAATATCCTGAAGTAATGCCATGCAACGATCTGATGACGCTTGCATGTTCTGCTTACAAAAGTCATCTCGCTTTGCTTCTAACTGGGCCTGTGAAGCGAGAAAAGAGCACAGATGGTATGGTCAGCCATCAGGAGGCTATTAATCACACATAGACTACTGAGAAATGCTTCTGCTGCAGAGACTGTGGCATATAAAGAGGGCCACACCCCTCACCTTGTTATAAGATTCTATCTAGCATATTCCTAAGAAGAGAGCTGGTTTAAAAAATACATCTACGTCTCTCTTTGTGATAATCATTTCCTGCTTCAGAGAATGATTCTCAAAGCACAGACACTGTTCCATATGAAACTTCTCTTTTCAAGTTTCTCTTTTCAGGAATAATTTCAGAAGCACAAGCATAAAAGTAAGGCAGGCCTGCGTGGAGTTCCTGATTCCACCACTTTGTGACACTCAGCCTTCATGAATTGATGTTTCCTTGTTGGTAAAACAGGGGAAATTATATCTGTCTCATAGATTTCATGTCAGCATTATATGCAGTGAGATAAAGTATTAAGCCCAGTGAGTTTTCCGTAAGTGCTCAGTAAAGGCTCAATGTTTATTGGTACATTCTTTAAAATGAGAATATCTTTTGCATATTTTCTCAGTGTAAGGCTAATGAAGGTAATGAAGATCGTACCCCAGGTATTTTCAGTATTGAGAAAGACTAATAGAACAGCATATTTACCTACTTTAAGTCATTCAAGAAAACTTATATTTCAAGCTTATTTTAGTCTAGAAGGATGTCCATTATCTGCTGATCTTGACAATCTAGTTTCACCAGAACCTCTGAATGAAGTAAGGTAAAATTTGTAGAACCCTGCTTTCCAAGTCAGGGGGTGCATTGTCACTTCTCAAATGATTATTTGCCATGCAACAATCCTTCCTTAATTTGGAAGGGCTCAGACTGAAGACATTCTCCAACAGCACTCTTATGATTGATTTCTCTTCCACGGCTTTCTGAATGTTTTACTGTTGCCTTACATTAAACACAATATGTTTTTAGGGTTTTCAAAAAGAATGAAATTCTCCCATATTATTAGCAGGGAACTTGAAAGCACTGTGTCTCTGATTAACTTTAAAAGAGAAAATAAAATAATTTTATATAAATAGAATTTTACAGTTTACCTATTTGCTTAAAATATTGCATCCAGAGCGGGGAAATAAACATAGTCTGTTATGGTACTTTAGGATATATAAGTAAGGCTAGAAGTATTGTATTATTTTAGTAAAGATTGCAAATGAGTACACATAACTAAGTGCTGTCGTCTTGGGTCTAGGAAGAACTACTCATTATCAAGGAAGGCTCAGATTTGTCTGCCTGTCATGAACTAAAACATCAAATATACCCCTAATTCCTTCTGGAACTTTTGTTCCACATCCTTGAAAGAATTTTTCATGAAGACTTCAATGGCCTCTTTCTCGTTGGCCCTGTGCAGGTCCAGAAGCTCCTGGAGGGTTTCCGTGGGCAGCTTCACCCTCTGGCCCATCTGCTGATCATAGTGGGCCACGGCCTTTTGTACTGCGGCCGAGTTCTCTATCTGGGCCAAGGCCAGGACTGCATTCTCCATGCAGGGAAGATCCCCACTGCTGATGGCATTGACATAGGTCAGCACCAGGCTCTCCAGACCTACAACAGAGAATTAAAAAAAAAAAAATAGTGACTATCAGTTGGTGAGAGAGAGGAATAAACTACATTCTGTTTAGTCCTGAGAATGTAAATTTAATTATTTTCTTCTGGTGAATCAACTGCTAGAGTATTTTGTATACTTTTCAAGTGTCACAAACAATAGTTTTAAGGATTTTGTGAGGGAGAAAAGTGATGGAACACTTTGTTAACATCTAGGTTCACAGGAGTTTAAAGCTTCTCTTTCTTCTTCCTTTCCTCACCCAAAGGGAAGATGTTGGGATGAATGGATTAGAATAAGGATATTTTAGGGTCTAAATATTAGGTCTTGATCTTTCCTCAGCCTTCCAAACTCTCTCTTTTTTTTCTTACTTCCTTTCCCCTCCCTCCTCACTTCTAATTTATGAAAAAAGTCAAGGGGAAAACTTAGGTTTTGTGTGTGTATATATGCCTGTGTGTGGTGCAGGCCACTTGTCCTGTGTCTGGCCTAGATAAGTGGGTCTTCCTAGGTATTCTCTCATCAGAGCTACATGCAGTATGACCAACTCTTCTAGGGGTTCACCCAGGGCTTTGCTGGTTTTAGCAGTGAAAAATCGCACATCCCAGGAAATTCCAATCTCGGGCAAACTGGAGTGGTTGGTCACCCTACAACTAATAGTACTTTGGGACTCAATCCTGGGCCTTCTCTTCTCTTTCTATAATTTTAAGTACCTTCCATATGGATAGTCATGAATTTTATTTCCTGCTTTGACCTGATTTTTAAGCCTTAATTTGTACCTTTAAATATCTACATGATATCCCTTCCTGTATAAATCAAAGGAATATCAATATTAAATAATCCAAATCTAAACGACTTCATCTACTCTGAAAAACTATTCTTCCTCAAGACAGTTTTCTCATTCCTCTCAAATAACATCCATTCTAGCAGTTACTTAAGCTCAGAACCCTAGAGTCAGGCCTGACACTTTCTTCTAATTTCTTCCACACTTCCATATTCTCTCCATCATCAAGCCTTAGAGATCTGAGATTCAAAATATGCATGGATTCTGTCCATTTTGACCATCTCCATTGCCATAATCTTAGCCTAACATAATCCACATTTAATTTTAAAATATTGAAAATATCATCCATCTTCCCATTGCCTCCTTTATAGCCCTCCAACACGTTATCTACAAAATACTCAGAAGGATAGTTTTAGTGTATATGTTAAATATATATGTTAGATAACCTTGTAAAGTTATCTTTATAAATTAGATAACTTTACCTCTCTGCGTAAAATTCTTCAAGATCCTCCCATTGAGCTTAAGCTCTACCCCTTGAAGTCACCCACCAGTCCTTTCAAGCACTGTCCCCTGCACACTCTCCAGTCATGACACTGCTCTTGCTCCCTTTACTCTTGTTTGAATCACACTGTCTTTCTTTTACTTTCTTGAATCTGCAGAGTTCTTTCTTGTCTCAGGCCTTCTCACATGATATTATCTCTGTCTACAAAGCTTTTCCACCTGTTCTTCTGGTTAACTCCTTATCATTTATAAAGTTCTCATCCTACATGTCATTTTCAGAGACAAATATTCTTTTCATTTGAATCTAAATTATTTCCCACCTGCTTACACTCCTTACTCTCTCACAGCAGCCTATTATTTTAACTTACTTTGCTTATCACTATTTATCATTATGATTTAAGAAAAATTAAATATCTTTTGCTCTTGTTTTGCTAGAATGAGGATAGAAATAAAACATTTTGATACACCATTATACCCCGTGTTTAGTGCATTGCAGGCATTCCTAATCAATACAAATATTTCTGAACTGATGAACAAGAGAATTGTGCTGGGGCTGGTGCCCATGCCTCACATAAGTGGAATATTTACCTTTTTATGACTTTGTCAATCTATATAGATCTCCTGGAAGGGCATTTCATAATTAGGGAGCTGAGAAGTTGGTAGAGAAGGTTACTACATACTACACTGGAATTGGATTCTGGTTCTTTTCCTTATTCATCTTGCTCATATGAATATTAGATGATATAGAAAATAGTTTTAGCTCCCATGTAGAGTTCACAATGTGATCCTAATGGTGTGTTTTCGTTCGTATCATTATATTATGTGTTTGTCGGAAGTAACTCTTATGCCTCCCTCTTTTATTCTCTACAGTGGGTGAAAGGAAATTCCAGGTAAGAAGTGGGGAGTGAAAGGGACTCACGAGGCCCATTGACTATGATGCCGCCTGAGAGAGTCTTGGCTTTGGAATGGCTGAAGATGTAGGAGCAGAAGTCTGCAACTTGTTCTCTGAATTCAGGGTCCAGATCTTCCTCCTGTAGCTTCTCCAGTTGGACAAGGTACTTCCTGGGAGCGGGACGGTCAAAGATGAAGCACTTCTTCTTTGGGAAGAACTTTCGGATGCACAACCGAGGTTCATTAAAGCTTTTGCTTTTTTCATCAGTACCTAGAAGAATGAAAACTAGATGTAGTACAACTTCAAACTAACTACCTCAAATTTATGACTCTTCAACTTCATAATTTGCACAAATCCTATGTAAAGAGATAAAAGTTATCTAATAATGGGTCAGAAATTAAAATATTAAAGGATTAGTGGAATAAAATTTCTTTCTCCAAGAAGAAAGAGGTTAAAATTAGATTCAGTTGATTCAGCCAAGGAATGTTTTCATTTCCTGTAACAGAACAACCAGGATAACACCTTATGAAATTATGATTTTCAGCACCTACACAGAAATGGCCATTCTGATATTGTTTTCTCCTTTTATGATACCCAACCATCAGTCCCAGCAACCTTTCTTTAGCTTCAGTGACAGCTCCAGGTACTCGTCAGCAGTGATGGGTTCTCCATTGGCTTCTAGCTCCAGGGAGAAATCTCTCAGAGTCCACACAAAGGTTGGAAAGAAGCTCACGAAGTCAGCTGAGTCTTCAAGCTCACTGTTACTGGGTGAGGATTTTGCCCTGATTCGCTCTGTCAGCTCTGTCACGTAGCTGAAATGCTAACATAGGAAAACTGCAGAAAAGGAGTAGCACTGTTTATGCTATATTTTCTCCTAATACTTATCTAAGATAATTTTCCCTCTTAATTAGCTTGTCATTCATTCATTCCACATTTATTGAGCACCTATTTGAACCAGGCACTGTCCTAGAGACTGAGACTATTGCAATGAGTGAGACAATGCTACCGTGATAGATCTTTCATTCTAATGAGGGAGACAGATGATAAATAAATAAACAAAAATGTAATAAAATCTGAGGGGCCAGCCCGGTGGCTCAGCAGTTAAGTTTGCACATTCTGCTTCTCAGCAGCCCAGGGTTCAACCGGTTCGGATCCCAGGTGTGGACATGGCACCGCTTTGCAAAAGCCATGCTGTAGTAGGCATCCCATGTATAAAGTGGAGGAAGATGGGCACGGATGTTAGCTCAGGGCCAGTCTTCTTCAGCAAAAAGAGGAGGATTGGTAGTAGTTAGCTCAGGGCTAATCTTCCTCAAAAGAAAAAAAAATCCGAGATATCAATATTGTCTTGAAGAAAAATGAATAAAGGTAAAGGTTAGAGAATAACTGTGTGTGTCTGTAGATGGTGATGGTTTCTGTGGTTGTTCAGGTAAATTCTCTCTGAGGTCATTGCTGGGCACTGGTCTGCATGAATTGTGGGAGCCAGCCATGCACAAATTCATTGGAGGAACATTCCAGGCAGAGGAAATAGCTCCTGCAAACCCTTGGACAGGAAATCACTGAATATGACTAACATATAGCAAGAAGGCCAGTGTGGCTAGGACAGAAGTCCTAGAATGGATGGGGTCCAGACCATGTAAGCTCTGTAAGCCACAGAAAGAGTTTGAATTGTAATCTAAATTTAATGGGGAGCCATTGGGCACATTGATCTGAGAGGGGATATGACCAGATGCTTGTTGTTAAAGGATCTTTCTAGCTGGTGTCACATCTGAGAGAGGCAAGAGTGTAAGCAAAGAGAAGGGTTAGGTAGTTAAGAAGATAGCCCAGATGAGAGAAGATAGAAGCTTAGACTAGAAGAAGTGGTGAGAATTGGTCAGCCTGGGCAAAAACCCTTGACAGAGGAGTTGACAGGACTTGCTGATTAATAGCTTCTAGGATATGAAGAAACAAATTATCCAGGATGCATCCTAAGTTTTCCATCCAAAAACTGTGTGATTGCTTTGGAAATATATCGTGATTCTGAAGAAGTACTTTTGAACAGGAAAATTAAAAGTTCTGTTACTTTACATGTTAAGTTTGAGATGTCTCTTACACATCTAAATGGAGATGTGTAAGTGGCTAGATACACAAGTTTGCACCTGAGAGCAGTGGTCATGATCGCATACACAAATGTTATGGCAACTGACACATAGGTGCTACTGGAAGTCTAGACGCTGGATGAGATTGCCTAGGGACTGAAAATAGATGGAAAATAGAAGATGCTCATGAATTAAAGCATTATAATATTTAGAAGCCAAGGAGAGAAAAATGATGCAACAAAATAAACAGGAAAAGTACAGCCAATGACGAATGTTTAATATTAGGAAACTGTGGTATTCCAGACACCAAAAGATGTGATAGTCTTAGACAAGAAGAAGAGATTAATTTTATAAAATGCTATGGAGGGATCAAATAATATTAAACCTAACCATCTGATACAGTATCATGTAGGTAATGTTGACAAAAGTTAATTCAAGAAAGTGCTTCAAACTAAGTTTATAGAAATGTTGAAGTTGTTAGGTAATGACCAAAACTAGATCATATAGGAGAGTGGAGAATAAAGATAGGAGGACGTGATGGAACTGAGCGTTGATAGTGTCAGATGAATGTGTATGGGTTATTAAAGTCTCTAAGAATACAGTGAACTAAGAGCTAACATTTTTAACAAATGAAAAGTATGTTTTAGGGAAGTTGGTAGATGGATAGCATAGGGGCAGCACATGTGCTTCAAAGAAGCTTCTCTTTCTTTCTTTCTCTTTTTTTTTTGCAGGGAAAGATTTGCCCTGAGCTAACATCTGTTGCCAATCTTCTTCATTTTTTTTTTCATCCCCAAAGTCCCAGTACATAGTTGTATATCCTAGTTGTAAGTCCTTATGTTTCCTCTATGTGAGCTGCCACCACAGCATGGCAACTGACAGACAGGTGGTGTCGTTCTGCAACCTGGAAGTGAACCTGGGCCGCCCAAGTGGTGAGCCTTGAACTTTTAACCACTAGGCCATCAGGGCTGACTCAAAGCTTCTCTTTTTAATGAGAGATGAATGAGAAGGTACCTGCAAGCTGTCATAAGGAGCAAGGAGAGGTCATCTAAATTTTCTGGGACCTGTGATATGCAAGTTATGGGAGAAAAAAATTGCCGCTTACAACCACTTGAGATGTCTGTAGGGGAAACAATGTCCACAGGGTATAGACAGAACTCAGTTAGAAGGAAATATTTAGAGAAGATGATAAGCATATAGAGATTTGCTGAAAGAGAACATGAGTTCTAGAGGATGTGGAGGGTTTGGCAATAGAGATTAAGTCAGATAGAGAATGTACAGAGCCTTGTGCAGCTAAGTGCTTAAGCATAACATGTGACCAGAAAGGCTTGGACTTCTGGAGGTGATTGTTATAAACTGAGGTGTTGAGCATAATGGGATTTGTTAAGGAAGGGGCATGTGAATTCTGCAGTTGCCCACAGCTGTACCTGGTGAAAATATGAAACATTTTCTAGAGTTAGTGTTGTTCTGGACCACAAAAAGGATACTGCAGTTGGTCCATGGCCTGCTGGTTGATGGTTCCCATGCTGTTGTACACAAAGGTGCTGCTCAGGAGGACTGCCAGGGCAAAGATCCAGGAGTCATTCTGGTTGTCTCCCTGAAAGTCAGTGAGAAAGCCGAATAGAAGAGCAACTAAGAGCACATGCTTTCGATTCAGACGGACAAAGTCTGAACCCAGCTCTGCCTCTATATAACTCTGAAGCCTTCCCTAGGCAATTTTTTTCCACCACTACAATGAATTTATGAACATTTAATTCATGGTGTTGTGAAATTTAAATAAGGCATGATATATAGATACACATGGGAGTGTAAAGCACATAGACACTTGATAGTAGTAGCTATTATGATCAAGTACTAAAATTAAAACCGATCTCCTGAACTTAGATTATGATCCTATTCCATTCCCATGACATGTCATCATAAGAAACTTTTCAGACGGTAGTTAAAATATGCCCCTTAATAAGAGTTTTCTAAGTCTAAGACTTATAAGAATAATAATGTATGATTCTTTATGGACAAAGGTGTTGTCATCAGCTCTTATACTTTGCTTCTCTTACTAATAGTACAGCTGTGGTCAAGATCATTCTTACCATCTTTCTGGGTTGCCATTGTGAAAGGTCAGACATGTTTGTAAAATGTCTAGTCAAGTTTAGAGGCACCTTCAGCAGCCTCACCAAAATATTTCACTATGTCATCAAAGAAAAATGACTAAAAAAGTCATTAGCCTTTATTTTGTGGGTTGCACAACCTATCAATCGGCCTTAGCCTCCACTCTCAATGCTCATATGTGTGGCCAGGTGGGGCTCAGCCTTGAAGGTATGCAACAACTCTTTAATTAGCCTGTTACTCTCACACTTTATGCTACTTTCCTCACATAAAGCTCACTGTGTTGGCTTCAAATTGGACACAAGGTCAAACTTTGACCACTACCAAGTAAGTGAAAAGAATAATACATGAAAGTGATAAGTTTGATAAGTTTGAAGTGTAAATCAAGGCGGGGAGGAACAGTGCAAGGAGAGCTCCTGATGGGGCATAAGTAGGATTTCAAAGATTTCTTTTTTACCTTCTCTACATCCCCGAGCCCCTCGGTGTCCAGCAGAACTAGAGAGTGGTTTGGCTTTTGGGGATGAGGCACACACCACATCCAGATCCCCTTCGTGTGAGACTGCACCGTGGAGCCCAGAGAGAAGCCTGCAAGGGGGAGTGGGCATAAGAGGAAGCGGAGTTTTATTTTCAGGTGGATCAGGAAACTGAGAAAAGTTGACAAAATCAGAGTTAAAAAAGATAAGTGAAACCACAGTCAGTATTGATCTTAATTACAATCAGAAAAATAGGGAAATTAGAATATCCAATACAAACTGAAATATTTATTTTATCTTAAAATCAGCGTAAGCTTGATGTTATACATAAACATTATAGTAAATGTTTTATATTTTATTATTATGTATAGTAATTTTCTTTATTACTACCTTATTCCTTCCAGAAAGGGATACTTTAAAAGGGGAAATGAAGGCAAAGTGGGAAGAGTGTCTTGACTCTTATCCTCCAGAAAGGAGTCTGTCAGGGCATTAAAAGTTAGCTTTCAATATTCCTCCTCATCTCCAGCTTTCTCTCCTCACATGACTGTGCTCGATATTGGTATTGTATGTGGACAGAAGGGAGTCAGCAGAGCACTGCTGGTGCCACTCACCCTTTCTCTTCCCGGCCAGCTTGTTCATCAGGAAGGATTTGCCTGTGCGGTAGAGGCCCACGATAGCCACCACCACCACAGGCTGCGTAATGGCAGACAGGATCTTCAGAGCCTCCTGATTAACCACCAGTCCCCCGTTAGTGTTCTCAATGAGGCACACTGGGCCTGGCATGTGGATCTCTGAGGCCATGGCCAGGGTGTCACCTTATCTGCAAGGGAGGAGATGGAATGGAAAGCAATTTCTAGTGAGTTAGCTGCGTGAGAAGTTTACAATATGGACTAATATTTTGCTTTCTGTCCTTGAACTTTGTTCCCTGTGCATTTCAAGAATCCTATGTCCACTTTAAGCCTGACTGTAGACTATTCCACTGGTGCTCTTTAAGAATAACTTTATTTCGAAATAGTTTAGACTTTCAGAAAAGTTGTACAACAGGTACAAAGAGTTTCCATATAGCCAGTTCCCCAGCTTCCCCTAATTTTAAGATCTTATGCAACCATAGAACTATTATTGAAACAGGATTTTAACATTGATACGATACCATTAACTAATCTGCATGCCTTTTTTGCGTTTCACCAGTTTTCCCACTCATGTCCTTTTCTGATCCCCGATCCAATCCAGGGTCCCTCATTGCATTTAGTTGTTATGTTTCCCTAGTCTTTCATCATTGATAGATCCTCATTTTTACTTTGTCTTTCAAAATCTGGACATTTTAGAAGAGTCCTGGACTGCCATTTTGTAGAATATCCCTCAATTTTGGTTTTTCTTATCGTTTCTCACAAGTAGAGTGAGGTTATGCATTTCTGCCAAGAACGCCGTAGGAGTGATGTTCTGCCGGTCTCAGCGCATCGGATCGAGGGATTCGCGAGGCACCTACTCTGATGCTGTGACGTTAACTCTGATCAACGGGTTCCGGTGGTGTCTGCCAGATTTCTCCACGTAAAGTTAGTATTTAGCTCTTTGTAATTAAAAAGTACCATTTGGGGAGATTTTTTGAGACTGTGCAAACATAGTCTCATCATAATTTCATATCATTTTTAACGCTAATTTTAGCATCCACTGATGATGATTCTGGCTTGTAACAATGGTGACTGCGGTGTTTGCCTGTGGGTGATTTTGTATGTTGACCATTCCTTCAACATTTATTAATTGAAGTTCTACTGCAAGCAAGTAAGTAAGAGCTGTCCGTTCTCCATTTATTTATTTACTCTTTTAATTATTTAGTTGTATCAGTATAGGCTTATAGATATTTATTTTATTCTATGGGATTCAATACTTTGTTATCATTATTTATTTTGTCACATAATTTGTCCCAGATTTGTTTATTAAGAGCTCCTTCAGGCTGGCTCCTAGGTCTTTTGGCATGCTCCCATCATATTCTGAGCGCTTCCTTACTTTCTGGTACCACAAAGTATTCCAGGTCCATCTTGTATTTGTCCTGGTTCAGCTCTAGAATCAACCATTTCTCCAAGAAGCCATGGTTCCTTTCTTTGCATAATAGTACTTAGATGCGAAGATATCACACTAGGTGTGAGCATTCCTCCTGAGAATACTTAGGGGACAAAATTAGGAAATTTAAGTATGTATACTAGCACATACATACACACACAACTATATTTATTTCTTTATCTGTCCACTTCTATGTATAACTTTGATTTCCTGTTGATATTCCCAACGCCAATCCAACATAGCAGGCTTAATTCAAGCTTTCCCCTTTATTTATTTAAACTCCTTTCTCTGACTATGAGAGGCCTGGCTCTCATTTTCTGTAATAAATTTACTTATTTGCTCAATTCCAGTATACACATATTTTCAAAATTTATAGTCCATACTCTGTGATAAATAAGTTTACTCACTAGAGTACAATATTAGTATGAAGTTCTTTCTGTCTTTAGTCTTTGTATTCTATCAGAACACTGTATTCAATGTTGCTTAGTTCTTTCCTTTCTCATCCTCTCCAGTGTGGTTAAATTATTCATTTGTGATACAGTTAGGTTCACTTGTCACTGTTTGTTTCATTTTGGTGTCCCCCCGCATCTTGGTTGGTTTTAAGTATGTGATTATTTTGTGAGTATGTGAAATGCTACGTGTCTCTAAGAGTCAGCCCTTTCCAAAAAGGTGTGCTCAGAGAAGTGTCACTTCTCCATTTTGCCACTCCATTCCCATTCCACCTTTCTTTCTATTTTTACTACTCCATTATCATCTATCCTCTATAAGTACCCAGGCTTGCTAATTTCTGGTTTATGCTTCCTAGAAATCCTTTTCACAAACGAGCAGATACATGTATATTTTCTTATTCACATTTTCTAACATGAAAGATCACGTGGTATTAGATATATGGAAATCATTCCATATCAGTTCATAGCGAGCTTACTCATTCTTTTTGACAGGCCTACTCCATTATGTGCATTTACCAAAGTATATTCAACTATTTTCCTTTGTATGGGCATTTAGATTGCTTCCTTTTTTTTTTTTTTCTGGTGAGGAAGATTAGCCCTGAGCTAACATCTGCAGCCAATCCTCCTTTCTTGCTGAGGAAGACTGGCCCTGAGCTAACAATCATGCCCATCTTCCTCTATTTAAATGGGATGCCTGCCATAGCATGGCTTGACAAGCTGTGCGTAGGTCTACACCTGGGATCTGAACCAGTGATCCCCGGGCTGCAGAAGCAGAGCGTGCGAAGTTAACTGCTGCACCACTGGGCCAGCCCCACTTCCCATTTTTTTCAATCACAACCTATGTTGCAATGAATAACCCAGCTAACATTGTGTGTATTTATTTTCATATTGTTGCAGCTGTTTCTTCAGGATAGATTCCTAGAAGTGGGATGGCTGGGTCAAAAGATAAGAGCAGATACTTTTTTGTTATACATTGCCAATTTGCTTTCCAGAGGGTGTACCAGATTGCATTCCCACTAGTTCATCATGTATCTCATTTTCCAGAAAATGGAGATTTTCCGTCTGTCTCACATCTTCTGACTTCTTTACCAAATTTCGTTTTGAAGCTTTGCACCTTCACATTTAGATCTTTGGAATGATCTAATCTGAGCTCTCTGAGCTCAGGTATGTAGCAATAGGCAACTTTCATCTAGAGAATTGTGTCAGATGTATCTATGTACTTTGAAACACAAACAACATCCTAACCCAGCCTTGAACCTGGTTTCTCCCGCATCTGTTCCTGGGCAGGGTCTGGGTCAGACTGAAGAACTCAGGTTCCCCAGTGGCTCTTCCCCCCTCACTGTGCAGGAAGTTCCCCAGCTGCCACTGCCCATCCTGTCTACCCACTTTCTGGCTCCTAATCCTTGCTTTGCACCTGCATTCACTTGTTTTTCACCCAAAACTGATAGCTCAAATATGACTCTTACTCTGTTGAATTTTACCCAATTATGTTGCCAGATTTTGACCTCCCTGTGTTTTAAGATTGATTCTTTACTATTTCCACATATATAAGCTTACATATTGCTTTTACTTATTTCAGGTAATGAAGCTATAGTTCTGAAACATCATCTTATAAATCAAAGCTTCTTTTTCTCTGAACTGTGCTCTATATAGAGTTTTTATTCACACAATTTTAGGCATGACCTCTTTAACCAGGACTTGATAATTTTGTAAAACTGAAAGGAGTGATGGGGCCGGCTCTGTGGCCGAGTGGTTAAATTCGCAGGCTCCTGGGCGCGGACATGGCACCACTCGTCAGGCCACGTTGAGGTGGCGTCCCACATCCCACAACTAGAAGGACCTGCAACTAAGATATACAACTATGTACAGGGGGTTTTGGGGAGATAAAGCAGAAAAAAAAAAGATTGGCAACAGTTGTTAGCCCAGGTGCCAATCTTTAAAAAAAAAAAAAGGGGTGAAAAGTCTCCCTTTAGTAATGCCTTAACTTTGTGTTTTTAACTTCAGTGCCTCAATCCTTGTAACTTGAAGTGATCGTGATATAGCATTTGTGAGCTTTTTGAATTACAAACACGTACAGACCCCAGGCATGCCATTTTTCATTCTTATCCTATAAGAAAGAGTGGTTTGCTTCCCCTGTAGTCGATTACTTTGACTTGCTCTTGCTGAGGGCTTATATCTAACAGGATGCCAGTCTTGCCTCCTATCTGGCTTCCCATTTCTTCAGGGGAAGATAGCAAAAGGAAAATCCTGTTTCTTTTTTCCATGATCAGGACCCTTTTCTTCTTACAACTGTGGCCTACAGGAGCTGCTGGCCAGTGAATAATTGTCTGATTTCATGCCATGACGCGTGCGCTATAAAATGGGAATCGATCAACGACTGGCTCAGGAAAAGTGGCTGCATAAAGATGTTACAAGCTTCTAAATTATTATAACTTGTTGCCTCTTTCTGCAGACCCCAAGTTGCCTAATTTCTGTTCACCTAGCACTCTAAAAGTTTGCAATAAAGAAATGGAGTATGAGCTTTATTAAGGAGGTTTTATCAAAGACAAAGGTAATTCAAGAAAGTGCCAAGAGAGAAATAACAATCTTAAAATGTTCCAGACTCTCAGTTCAGACTCCACCTCTGCTGGAACCTCATTCAATACAGTGCTGGTTGGTGGGCACCTAAGTGACACCCTGCCGCCTGATAACTTCAGAATTTCATCTGAACGCATGTGCCAGACCAGGCACAGCTGCAGCCTATCTTGCGATGGTCATTTTATAGAAAATTAACTGACCCGTAGAAATCCCCTCCCACCCTAACTCAATCTTACCGAAAGCAGAGATCCTTCGGAGTCGAGCAGACAGCAGCTTCGTAGACAAAGTTAGAAGTGCTTATCCTCTTCCCTTTGCTTCTGACTTTAGCTGTGCTGGTTTCTCTTGTTTTCTCTCTCACTGGCAATCTGGGCTTTTACTTTACTCCTTCAATGTGCTAGAACTTCCCAAATTTTCTTCAGAAACCAATGATTAGAAATCAAAACTAACAAGCAACCTCTGCAAAGAAATAGACTAAAAAGGAAACTGAAAGCACTGAGTCCAAGGCAGTCACTCAGCAAAGGAAAAGCTGAGAGCTGTGCTGGTGAGACATTCTGACATGATTTCTCAACTAGATTTCTCTAATTTTATTATTAGAAGACATCTTAGAGACTGCTTGCAATAAAAATAAAAGGTTCATTGGATCAATTAAAGTAATGCCGTTTATTTCATGTTTGTGGGCCAGTTTGAAGAGGATGACAAAAATCTCATATTTTTCTAGGCTCAGTTGCCTGGAATATTAGTTTCATTCACAATGGACTTGATTACTCATGTTTGGCTAGTGAGATCTCTCTTCTCTGAGGGAATGACCATGTCTTACATGCTTTGAATTCTCAGTATCTAACCCAGGTACTGGATCTTAGTACTTAAAAAATACTTAATAAATAATAATGAGGATAGCTTCCGTTGTTTTTTTTGCACACTTGATTCAGACCCAGTGACAACTTCCTTATGTAGATCATCTCATTCTTATTACAAAAACTTTTACCACAATGCCGCAGAGAGATTTTAATAACTTGTTAAAATCACAAGCTACTAAGTAAGACTTGGACCCAAAAAGTCTTGCTCATGAACCCATGTAATCAACCATTTCACATAAGACCTTGTGTTTGAATGAACAATGATAATAATAATAATAATAATAATAATGTTTCCTGTTTACTGATTCCTTTCTACGCCAAACTCTTTACATATCTAAGACTCATAATAATGCTTTATGATATAGGGTAATTATTACCCCCATTGTCCAAGGAGGGAAAAGAGTCCAGAGAGGATAAGAAATATGTCACCTAAATCCGCTGAGCTACACAAAGCTCCAAATCACTAAGTGGGATTCAAACTTTAGAACCCATTTGATTAAAACCTCATATTTCTCTACTCTGCACTGTCTGCAAAAGGAGAGAAAAAGAGAAAAGAAAGGAAGAGGAAGGGTGTATGTGTGTGTGTGTTTGTGACTGAGAGAGAGAGCAGATTGCTTATTATATTAACTTCCTTTTTTTCCAATATATGCATTTATCATTCTACATTTTTCTATAAATATTGCTTTCACTGCATCCTGCACATTTCAAAACGTAGTATTTTCATTTTCATTTAATTCAAAAGATTTTCTATTTCTATTGTGATTTCTCATAACTTCTACAAAGACAAGTACTCAAGAGAAATATGGATAAGAGACTTAGGCACTTCAAAAAGAATATATCCAAGTGACCATAAACATTAGAAAAGGGTCTAATATCATAAATCATAAGATAAATGCAAGTTAACATCACCATGACATTGTAGTGCACACCTACCAAAATGTTTTAAATTAACAATACCAATAATTCTAAATGTGACCAAGGTGTGGAACAACTGGAACTCTCATACATA